TTTATTTATTTATGTATTTATGTGGTGCTGGGGATTGAACTCAGGGCCTGACACATGCTAGGCAAGTGCTGTCCCACTGAGCTACAACCCAGCCCAAAATATAGTATTCTTCTTCAATTAATTATTCTTATTCTCTGAAATCACCTGCTTCTAGAGATTTCCTTAGGGGAAATTTTCAATTATGAATTCATTTTAATAGTTACATAACTATTCCAATTATCCATTTTTATCTTGTTATGTGGTTTTGAGAAATTCAATTTCTTCTTAGATACAGCACATAAGCATAGGAAAATTGTTCTTACTGCTTCCTTATTTTCCATTTAATGATTGCAGGATTGTAATGATAACATTTCATTCTTGACATTAATGTTTTATATCTTCTTTGTGCTTTTATCTTCTTTATGTGGGCTTACCGGTTTTATTTTTTGAAGAACTAAATTCTGCTTTAATGATTTCTACATTTTTTCCTATTTCAACTTACTCTTATAAATACTCTTATCTTCATTTCCATCCATCTGCTTCTCTTAAAACTTTTTATTCTATTTTTTCAAGTTTCTTGAGGTTTCAAGAAAAATTTGTGGGATTTTTTTTCTTTTATAATGTAAACATTCAGTGCTATAACCTTTCAACTCAACATATCTTAAGCTACATCCCACAACTTTAATATGTTATATTTCATTTGGTTTTATACATACATATTTGTTTTATATTTTTTATATTTTTTATATTTTTTCAAGCAAGTAAGATTTCAGAATCCCAAGGAATCAAATGCAGATACTGCTTATCAGGTCAGCTCTTCAATCAACAAACATTGCTGAGAAAATCTCATCCAACCGCAAAAGGATTCCTCAATCCACCTCCCAGCCTTCCTCTCCCAACCCCAACAAGTTAATCGAGGTAAGAAGGAAACAAAATGAGAAGCACATAGAATCTGAAAAACTATAGTTAAATGGAGAAAAATATGAAGGCTCATTTAAAATAAGGAAAATGGCTAGACACATATTGTTTACAAGACTAAAGTTAAAACTATGAAGAAATTTGGGGATGTTGATTTAAAAAATCACCCCTTATCTCACTAAAGTATTCTAATTTCCTCACTTTGCTCCTGTGCATTCTTAAATCAGTGCACATGAAATTAAGGGGTTTGCTACTCTACTGAAATCTTTTAAAGTGTGTTTTCTTTTAAATAATTGCAGCATATAAAATGCCTTAGAAACTGTATCCAACTCTCAATTTAGAAAGGAAATTTGACATCCCAGGTGGTCAGGAGTATAACACACCATAAATCTACCTCCTTCCTTTCACTGAACATTCTTCTAAAAAGGAAACAAAAAGCTAGGCAGCAGAGGAGTAGATAGAAAACCACTAAATTCCCTTTCAACCTTTTCATTCCAGTCTCTTAAATATATTACTGTTCAAAATAGTCGAGGGAAAAAGCAAAGCTACTTGGGATGCTAATGCACCATTCCTCATATGGGAAATACTCGAACCAGACTAGGGAAATGAAGGAGGATAATGAACATAGTTTCTGCAAAATAGTGCCTGCTTAGGCAGGAGAATTAAGTAAAGAAAGCAGGGTGTACCGGCAAATACAGTTGTATGGATAAAGTCACAATAGTTAACAAAAACGCAAGAGCTAGATATCGCTTCAGTTAGCTTTATTTATATGTGAATGATAATACAATCATCAAATGTGCATTTATGAAAAATGAAATTTAACAAATCCTAAAATAAATTTAAATACAGAATTAGTACTTCAACAACGGCAAAGTTAGCAAGTATGTAGTAGAATAAGAATGATTTTAAAAGCACGAGCTTTAGATTATGTAATATTTTTATTGAGAAGGTATGTCTTAAATTATTATAACTCCACTATCATGATAAACATTTTCATTCAAGTACCTGAATAATTTTCTAGTTCTTGCATTCATTTAACAGATTCAATCACAAGGTTACATATATAATAAGCAGCTCAATGTGATCATCAAGTCCCACACTATGAAATACCATCTTAAGAATGGCCTCAAATTTTAAATCCAGAAGACAAAAGAAACCCAGAAACTTTGTAAGGCATTCACAAACACAATGAAAGAAATAGAAAAATATTTCAACATTTTGTTAAATGCTTTCTCTTCAGACATATGTGGTGGCTACAGAGAGGGGAATAGCTGACAGTGACCTAGGTGTTAGAGAAAGGGAAATTTGAGGGGGGGGGGGGGAAAGCGAGGGCGGGGGGGAGAGGGGGGTGCTTTCCAAAACCTTCCAGTGACCAAAGTGAAACACAAAAGCAACTAAGTATATTTCACAATTCTCAAATTCTCTTTAGTTGACTGTCAGTAATTAATGTTGGCACCATGTTGCAATTACAGGACACTAATGCAAACACTACTGTCTTTTGTATTCCTGCAATGTTTTCATTTGAGAAAACCTGCAGTAAGAAGTCTGCTTACACCTGAATAAGTAACAAGGAAACAGGGCACCGTAGAATAATAAGGCCCTAAGAAAGGCAGCAGGTCGTATAGTTACCTCCTTGTGGGCAAAATCCCTGCCCTAAAACTATGCAACCTACTACCTCTTCCTAGGAACCCATTTTATTCTTGCTGATCTTCTATTTGGCAGGTGCACATCAAAATACCCAGTTAAATTAGGCCATATTCTTTCAATCTTGTTTCAAACACAACCAACTAGAATTCTTTCACTAATGCTTTTAAAGTTATTGACTGTATGGCTTTTCTATAAGCCAAAACAGTACTTGCTTAAAAACAAACCTCAAGTTAAAAAGAAGAAAGTAATTACATCAAAGAATACAAGCCAGACCTCTAACTCAACCTACCACATACTAGAGCCTCAGCTTTTTATTTAAATTTTTTTGTTTTGTTTATGGTTACTTGGGATTACTTTAGACATTTAATTACCAAGATTCAAAGATCAAATTTCATAAAACCTCCAGCCTCTCTTGATTAAATATTGTATATAAATCCTGTTTGCCACCTATCAACTGGAGGAAATTATGACTTGAGAGGTCACATTTCAGAATTACATCCAGTTAGTCCCTTCTTCACCCCTGAATTACAGTAAACAGAAGCACTATGGTCATCATTTTTGCTGCCATTAAAAAGCTTTTAGAGTCTGCCACAGTCTCCATAAAGGTTCCTTTTTAAATTATGTTTACAAAATATATCAGTTCTTCACAATCTGATCCACTTTCTCTGCTTAGCTAATAAGGATATTGAGGGCTGGGGATGTGGCTCAAGCGGTAGCAAGCTCGCCTGGCATGCGTGTGGCCCGGGTTCGATCCTCAGCACCACATACAAAGAGGTTGTGTCCGCCAAAAAAAAAAAAAAAAAAATGAATATTAAAAAAACTTCTCTCTAAAAAAAAAAATAATAATAATGATATTGAAATAGGCCCTAACATAATCGATAATATAAACACAATTTTCTCCAGACCTTAGTGAAGTTTCCAAGTTCAGAGCAGTAGATATCCACATTGGAGGGGCACTTAACAGAAAACCGTAAAATTCCACTACTGTACTTGTCACATACTCAGCAGGTGGGTGATGCATATTAGCAATTTGTTTCCCTCCAGTGTTTACACATCCAATTTGGAACAAGAACAAACATGCCAGGGATGAAATAAGCATAAATATTGGTTCAGGACAAAACATCTAGATTTGACCAATCCAAGAGTTTTCATGTTTCCTCTAAAGTTCCCACCACCAATGGTAATGCATGGTAATCATCCAAGATGCTAAGATACTAAATGGAAATATCTTTGAAAAGAAGATTTCTCCCTCACTGTCACATTTTTCCTCTTTCCCCTCTCTTCCTCAAAATAAAATTGTTTAAAGAGCAAGCATTTAAAATGGAGTTCTTAGTCTTGCTTGACTATAATATCCAAGGAAGCATATGGGTTGGCCACCAGAAGAAAGCTGAAATATGGGCCTTTATGGATGTTAAAACAAATTCAATGTTTTTTTCTAATATTTGTCTTTTTTTTTTTTTAAGCAACACACACACTTTCCTACCTAACAGTTTTGGAATAAAGAACCACTTCAGTTTTTCTTAGCAACTTGCCAGGGAACAAAAGCAGAACCCAAAGTCCATCTCCCCCTTTTCAGGATAGTGAATAAATTCTGTCCAAGTCAATACACCAATGAGGTAGTGCTTATATTAGTATTCTCCAAAGCTACTCAAAACCCCAGACTAGGAATGAAATAATCAACCTGACTCAAATTTAGCTCCAACAGTGCCCTTACAGTTAGTATGTACCTTTATACCAAGCTAAAGCTCACTCTAGACATATATACCAGAATGTAGGGCAAGGAACATCCTAAAAGGGTTTGGTCTTCTTTTAAAAATTTCCTGAAAGGTACATTTCTCCAGAGATTTTTGCTTAATTTCAAATTTCTGAAATATATCATGTGAAAATTAAAAGATAAATCAGTGTCTACTACTGTACTCTACTTGAAGGGTGAAAATTAACAACTGACAACTGTAAATACAAGAGTCAAAATTCATCCAAGCTTTAACATCATCTAGATAAAAACAAAATAATGCAGCAAGTCTACTCCTCAGGGAAGGCAATAGATTGTATAGTTATCTCCTGAACAGGGTAAAATCACTACCCCACAACTATACAATCTACTACCTCACTCTGATAGAGCAATCTTTTCCTCTGGAATGAAGAGCACAATTTCTTTCAAAAGAAAAGTTCACACAAAATTATCAGCATCAATCAAAACAAAACATAATTCCGACACAGAAATGAGATAAGCAAAAAGTAGCCCCATTTCTACCTTGTCTACCTGGTAAAGACTTTTCTAGGAAATAATGAAAGATTCTTTTTTAGACAAATTAATTTTAAACACTGAACAACTAGTTATTAACTTTCCGTAAGGCTGACTGAATGCAGACTTTTCTATCACCTTAGGAAAGACAGTAGATTGTATAGTTATCTCCCAGTGGTGGGTGTGACCCTAAAACTATACAACCTACTACCTCATCCCACAGTGAAGAGAATATCCAGGGTCAATGTTGAAAAGGACCACAGCGGAGCACCACGGAAAGGCTTTCTCTTCGGTAATCCTGGTTTCCTGTGTAATGGGGCAAAAAAAGAAATATTAGACCTCTTTTCATTCCTTTAATTTGAACATGAAGTTTCAGTACACATTTTGTATGATCTATACTGTCTTTCACTTCTTTTTATTTTTTTTTACTATTTAAAATGCTTGGTTACCTGAATCCACTTATTTATAAGATTCAAATCACCATTTGTACCATATCTGATAACCACAGGTTGAGCACTTCTAACCCAAAAATCCAATCTTTTGGAGCATCATAATGAGACAAGTGGAAAACTTCACATTAACCTCATGTGCTGAAGAACAGCCAAAACAAGCACACTAAAATTACCGTATAAAATTACCTTCAGGCTGTATTTTTAAGGTATACATAAAGCAAATAAATTTTTCTATTTAGACTTGAATCCCATCCCCAAAATCTCATTATATATACAAATATTCTAAAATCCATAAAATTTCTGGTCCCAAGCATTTCAAATGAAGAATACTTGCCCTATATTATCAGTCTTTGATTTTCATATAGTTGTTGCAAACAAAAATTCATTAATCTTCGAGAAACAAAAAATCGTTACAAAGGAATAATACAAAAGCTTCTGGTAAAATCCAATTACCTCAAAACCTAAAAGCCCTACACATCATACATAATCCATGACCAAATGCATTAATGTACAAAGCAATGACAAAAAAAATAGACACAAGGAAAAACTGATTTTCAATGGAACCACTTGTTTATTCCATACAAGCAAACACTAAATGATCTTACTAGCAAAAAACAATCAAAGACAATCAACCCATCTGTGTCAGGGTCAGGATTCTTCCTTTTAGTTAGAAAAGTGGTGTGAGGATGGGATCCGACAGAGTACAAGATATTTAACAACTTGTACAAAACTGAGCTAAGCTACATGACACCAGTGTTGTTAAATCTTACCTCAACTAATCTAAAACCTGTTACTTATTAGTCTTCAATTTACAGACTTCATACTGAAAAGGTAACTACCACAAAGATTTCAAGTAGGCACCAAATTTAAGAAAGAAATTTATTTGGCAGTGACTTAGTAACAAAACACCCATTTTAAAATTTCAAACATGTAAGCAAAGATATGCTCAATGAAGTAAAATATCAAGTCCAGAAATAAATCTATATGCACAGGCTCAATAGCGCACCAAGACAATTCAACTGGGAAAGAATAGTTTTCCAGTAAATAGTGCTAGGACAACAGCATATCCAAATACAAATGAATGACCACGCCACAACATACCATATACAAAACATAAGACAAATTACCTAATTTACTGGAATTTTAATAGGTATTTAATAGATATTTTAATAGATTTAGTAGATATTTCAAAGAAGATAAAGCTTACAGACAAAAATAGCAAATCTATGAATACAGGCTATGATGAACAGTCTATATTCAGCAGTCAATAGGGAAATGCAACCCCAAATCAATGAGATATCACTTTATAGTCACAAGAATGGCTAATAATCAGAAAGTTACCATGTGCTGGCAAGAATGTGGAAAAATTGGAATCCTAGATTTCTGGTGGGAACTGTGAAATGGTACAACTGCTCTGAAGAACAGTTCAGCAGTTCGTTGAAAAGAAACAGCCAGGCATGGTGCTGCACACCTATAATCCCTGTGACTCATGAGGCTGAAGATGATCTCAAATTCGAGCCCAGCCCAGCAATTTAAGGAGATCCTCAGCAACTTATTGAAACCCTTCCTCAAAAAATAAAAAGGACTGGGGACGTAGCTCAGTAGTAAAGCACTTCTAGGTTCCAAGCCCAGTAGCAAAAAGTTAAACAGAGCTGGGACATGAAGATGCATACCCATAATCCCTGCTACTCAAGATCAAGAGGCTGAGGTTCTCAAATTCCAGGCCTGCCTGGGCAAGTCTGCCTGGAGACCTTACCTCAAAGTAAATTTTAAAACTGCTGGAGCTCTGAGGCAGAAACAGAATGCTCTTGGGTTCAATTCCTAGTACCACCACCATCACCCCCTCCCCCTCCAAAAAAGAGATGAACTGTTATCACATATGGTACAAGAAATACATAATTGGCTCTATTTCCATTTGGTGTTCTTGACATGAATCTCCTCCTAACATCCTCCAATCTCCCAAATGATGACTTAAAAATGCTAATGAGGGAAGCAGGGTGCTGTCACATGCCTATAATCCCAGCAACTGGGGAGGCTGAGGCAGGATCAGGAGTTCAAAGCCAGCCTCAGCAACGGTGGGCCACTAAGCAACTCAGTGAGCCCCTGTCTCTAAATAAAATACAAAATAGGGCCAGGGATGTGGCTCAGTGGTTGAGTATCTGTTAATATTCAATCCTGGGTACTCTCCCCCAAAATGTTAATGTGACTGAAACCTCCTAGGACAAGTTTCAGAGTGGAGACTGGTCACCAGAATGACCAAGTTGAACTGTTCAGCCCCACCTCTCAACCTTCAGGGAGGTGGGAGGAGCTGGAGAGCCAATCAATGGCCCCTGCTGTAATCTATCAGACCCAGTGCTGAAATCACTATTAAAAACCCCCAAATGACATGATGTAGACAGATTTGAGCTGGCAAGTACGTCCTCATGATAGGAAGATGACACAATCCCAACTCTTCAGGGACAGAAGCTCTTAAGCTCAAGAATGCTTCTGGGTCTCACTTATTAGAGTACCTCTTACTAATTTCTATCCTTTATAATAAACCAGTGATAGACCAAAAAATGTCTTGAGTTCTAAGAGCCATTCTAGAAAATTATAAAGCCTGGAGAAGGGGGTTATACAAAGCCCCTTAAGTTATAGCAAGCTGGTCAAAAATTCAAGTAAACTAGAACCTGAAAAGGAAGGAGTCTTGGGGACTGTGCCCTTAACTTGTAAAGTCTGGACTAACTCCAGGTAGTATCAGGATCAAACTGAATTGGTGCCCAGAGGTGAAGAATTGATTCAGTGTTGGTCAGAACCTATTGTTGACTAAAAAAACACTTCACGATATGACCCAGCAATTACATTCATAAGTATATATGCAAGAGAACTGAACACAAACACTAGATAGACAAATGTTCACAGGAACATTACTCTAGTAAACAAAAATCAGTTCAAATCCTGCCCCTATATTCACCACCACCAAAACCTTATACAAATAATTCAATCTTCCTAGCCCCTCAGCTTTCTTAGTTATAATATTAATACATCTCATAAAATAATCTGTAAGGTGAATGATTTACCACCATTCAACAGATGTTAAGCCCCACTTTCCAACATCTCTACGTGAAAGCTGGTGCTGCGCTGTTTGATAACTTGCCCCAAAAGTGAGAAGGCAGCACAGGATCTCCAAACATGCTATACCATATCTGAGCCCAATTCTAGAAATCCAGGTTATATACCTTGAGTATAAACTTGCAGACAACTGTCCCCCCAAAAGTCAAGTATCTATAAAGCCAAAATCTTTCCTCAGAACCAGCATTGTCCTCTATTCTAATATTCAACTTTCATCCAATTAAATCAGGTTTGAGGCCAGGGATGTAGCTTCAAGCATGCACATGGTCCTAGACAAAACAAACAAACAAAAAAAGCACATTTGATTTTTTTTTTTTTTTTTCGCCCTTCTCCCTGTGGTACTGGGGATCAAATCCCAGGCCCTCCTGGATGTTTAGCGCTCTACCACTAAACTAAATCCCCAACCCCAAATTCTGAAACGTTCTAAAATGCATTAATTTTCAATCTTGCCAACAATCCAGCAATGTAAGCAGGTACCATACAGTTAGAAAACAATCCACTAACAAACATACCAAGGACTATTTACAAGAATCTATTTACAAAGCATGACAAAAATAAAAAGAATGGGTGTTTATGAGGGACGAACATCATCTACTATATAACATCACTATTCATTAGAGCAGTTAATCCACCTTTCTACAACCCACAGCAAGAATAACATTTTTAAATAACTCACGTCTGCATAATACTAATAGAAAATACTGCTCACAAATCAATATTAACCCTTACTCCTGCATTTAATTATGTTCATAAATTGATTTTATGATACAATATTTCCAAAATGGCAGTTTAAAAAGTGCTAGTTAGAGCAAGCGTTGAAAAATATTAAAGCTTAGGGGAGGCAACGTTCAGTTAAGCAAGTTTAGAGAAATCAAACTGAATTGGTGCCCAGAGGTGAAGAAAAACAGAATACAACTCCTACCTTAGAATTTATGGATGAGAACCCATTGGAAATATTCATTTAAAAGTGAAGTGAAGTAAAAACCCTAACTAACAAACACTGATCACAACTATACAATGCTTGAACACTAAAGAGAGTGGGATGAATAGTTAAGCTGAAAATCTTTAGTGATTTTTCTGTCTAGGGTTAAACTGTACTTAAGAACCAGAACCTGGTTTGAATCCTGGCTCTCCATTTATTATGTCTTTATACCATGTAATCCCTAGACCTGTTTACATTCCTAGGCAAGTATCTATTAGCTAGAACTATCAAAAATTGATTTTCCTGATACTCTTAGAAAGTGATAGACTTTTTATTCATCTTCTATTCTTATTCGGATTCTATCTCAATCTGTAGATAGAACTATCCTCCCATTAAAATTACGGCAATTGACCAGCGCAATGGGCACACCTGTAATCCCAGTGGCTCAGGAGGCTGAGACAGGAAAATCGTGAGTTCAACAGCCTCAGCAAAAGCAAGGCGTGAGACCAGTCTCTAAAATTTTACAAAGGGCTGGGGGATGTGGCTCCCCAGTTGAGTGCCCTGAGTTCAATCCCAGGTCTCCCCGCCAAAATCATGGCAATTAAAATAAAAAATTCAATGTATACAAATTGTATCAAAAGAAACTCATTTTTAGCTGAGCAGGTTAGGAAAACAAAGGTGCTAAGGGCAAAGGCTTTGAGGCTCAATAGCTATTTAGTGGTTGTGTTCTTGAGATACCTGCCAGTTCTCTAGTCTCCATTCAGGCAACTATAAGATCCACACCTCATAGGGTCTTGATTAGGACAATTGCAAAGCAACTTACTGAGTCACAATTAAATCAACAAACAGCAACTGTTCTAATTAATTAGAGAAAACTGTCCTAAGTGGGTAACCTTACCTTCCCAGATATACTGACAGTCACAACTGTTATTTATTTAGAACTGTTAAGAGGCAAATTTACTTATTAATTATGAATAAATTTGTCTATATCTACATTTTTATCAACATGGTTTCATGATGAAGTCTGTTAACAATCACTTTTCTAATTTTTTTTTTGCAACTGATTTTTAGTTGTTTTAAATTGATAAATCACATATTATTTTATGGTACATGTTTTCAAATATGCAATTATGAAATGGCTAAATCAAGTTAATTAACATACACATTCCTTATGTACTTATTCTTTTGTAGTGAGAAATTTAGGAACATTCCTGATTTTTAAAATTGCTTCTAAATTCTTAAATATTCGAACTTAATTCACAAGCAGGCATACACTACCTCGTACATACTTAATAGCAATTAAAAATTCTAATTCTGAGCTAAAATGTTTCTCCAGAAGTTTAATTTCCTACCCTTTACATTAGTTTACATTCTTTTAGCTCAAACTTTCTTTCTTATTGTATCTACTTATGTACCTATCTATTTAACTAGGGCCTAAACACAGGGGCTTGAACATGCTGGGCAAGAAAGTTTTATTTTTAAAAGCTTTCATTCGCATTCCATTGTATGGGTGTATAAATTTCATTTTAGCAAAACTGTCCTACACATAAAATGAACTACATCTCTAACATCAGTTTCACTTGCTGATAATCGAATACAAATCAAACAGTGGTTACTTATAATTAAATTTCCTTTAATTTCAAATAGCTGAATATCAATGAAATGATGTACGAATGATGCCTGTGGAATACTCTAACATTAAGGAAACTCTTCAATAGTATTTTGCTTCCTTTTATAAAGCAAAAGCAATTATTTCTAGCAATGGGAAGTAATCCATGTTTTATTGACAAGATAATGGAGTTTTCTAGATTTCTGTCTCCAGTGGAAGTTAACCCAATTCTAGTATCTCGATTTCTTATTCTATGCAACACTACAGATTCATGTTAAGTTTTAAATAGCTAAGTACTAGGTCAGCTTTCCCAAAAGGACCATTTCATTTACTCTTAAGACACACAACAGATACTTCAGATGCCTTTGCTGATTAATAAAGCAATATGCCTAAATTTTGAAAAATTGTTAAAAAGGTAACCAATGCAATGTCAATTTTCAGTTTTCTTTCTAAGTTTCCAGATGTAAACTCTTCATTTTGGACCGACTTCCTTACTATCACAAATACATTCCATACTACCCTTGCATAGCTAAATTAATTCTACAAACCGTAAATAATTGCAAATATTTTGTGTGAGGTAGTATGTGCCACTTGGATAACTTGTTTGCTTACTGATGATTACTTCTCCATTCTAAAATCTGCCCTTCCTATCCTTTCCCAGGCTGAAAAGTCTCGGTACAGTCTACACAATTTCCAAAACAAGAGAAGGTAGCTTCTAGTTCATTTAATCTAGATTCAAGTCAACTTTAGTGTTTGATAACTGTATCCAACAGATAATTCATAGTCAACACTGTGGAAATGTGAATTGACACAGAAAAAGTTTCCTCCTAGGCATTAGGTAAGCACATAATTGGCCAAATAAAATTTCCCATGGAAGGAAGGAAGAGGTGTGGCTGATCCCTCATGTGATGCTAATGCAATACTGACATGCAGGAAAAATGACTATTTGGAAGAACAAAATGCTCTCAAATCATACTGACTATGTGTCATTTTAAAACAAATTACCTAAAATGTCTTAAAATATTTCTAGAGAAGTCAAAAGTAACTTAACAAAGAAGGTATTGCCATTCCGGTGCCTCAGAATACTCCAATCTGCTATACAGAAAGAACCTAAGAAATTATCTGGTACAGTTTACTCACATGTGAGAGGTGGCTTTGAACGGACATTTTTAGCTATCTTAAACTGTAAAAATTCAGCTAGTGAAATATAATTTTGGAAAAAAAAAAAAAACTAGACAATCCACTAAAATTGCATTAGCCACAAATGGCTACTGAGCCCCTGAAATGTAAGTAGCCCAAAGTGTTATGTTCTGTAACTGTTAAGATACACCCTGGATTTCAAAGACTTAATACCAAAAACGTATGATAGCACTCATTCTATCTGGCTATTTAATGAAGTCCACTCTTAAGTGATTATGCAATGCTTAGAACACACACACACACACAGGGAAACTGCATGAAATGAGCAGGCCTCCTTTACTCCACTAGTGAGGTTATGCGAGGAAATGTTGACAACTTATTACTTGGGATCCAGAATCTTTAATTCTCATCTAAACATGAAGAAAATCCCCGGCAATTAATAGTCTGGGATGAAAAAGATCCTTTACAATCTAAATAAAAGCATCTTGAGCTATTAAAAGTACTAATAGCTACAATAATAGTACATGATTAAAACACATGCTGATCCTGGGTGGCGGATTTATTCCCCAACTCATAAAAACTCAAGTGAGGGGAACATGTTTCATTTAATGTAAAAACAAACAGGACTGTTTTCAATACTCCTTGAAGACAACCAGTACTATTAATGAGAGAAATACCCTTTAAAAGAATGTTTTTAATATTCTGACACAAAAATAACTTGTGAGAACATATCTGCATATAAGAAAAAAATCAACATTCTATTTCATGCACTATTTTCATTTTTTAAAATTGTGATCACCAACCGCTAAAATGACTTATGACCCAACGACAGAATATACAGCATGAAACATCGATTTAGTGCTCCTAACACTAATTCCCACTGTATGGAAAACCAGTACTTACTATTTTAACTATTAAAATAAAGGTACACAATCTAGGTGCTGTACTCTAAACCAAGAAATGTCTAGTTAATGCTAAAAAGGAAAAAAAGGCCCTAAGAAATAACATTTGAGACAAACTTGTTTAGTATTTCTCTCTTTCTCTTTTATGACTGGGTGTTATCAAACTTTTCAGACTTGCAAAATGCTCAAATTCAGCAGAACTTCAATCAAATGTGGTAGGGGGAGTGAAGGGAGGGTGAAAGCGTGCTTAAAGACAAATACTCTATACCTGTCACTGTCTCTGCAGTTCATTCAAAAAGTTATTTTCCCAACACCAACTTTATTTGATCAAAGTGACACTTTTTAAATACTAGTAGTAACTGAATTTAGGTCTCTCCTCTAAAACGGTCTTTCATTTCAAATAACATTTTACCTGTGTATAATAATCAAACATCCTCACTAAACTCCAAGTAATTCCTAAGTTGATAGTTCCTTAACTATGCACACACCCTGAGTGTAAAGGAAACCAGACTGCCACACAACAGAAAAATATGGATAAAAACAACTTTATTCTTAGAATTCAACAATTTTCTTAAATCTCAAGATTTTCAAATAGAAATAAATTCAGGAGACGCTAAATTATGTTTTTAACTTTTAGGAACTGAGAACCAAGAAAGCAAAAGTCGTCAATAAAGTTAATGAAATCTCAGCCTTCATCTCCTATTTACTTCAAGATTTTTAACTCGGTTTCCAAGGTCTTTTCCCCCGCGTCCTAACCCTTTCATGATTTGTCTATTTTTTACTTTTAATCTCAAAAGTTGAAAATTAAGTAGAATACACACCACCACCTCCGACACAGAGCCTACTGTAAAAAGTTGGAAGAGCAAAAGGGCAGCGCTGGCCAAGGACATAAAGGTTACCACACCGCTCGCAGAGAAGCGCGCGGGGGGAAGTTTACTGGCCAGCTCTGGGAGAGGCATTCGGTTCCAAGAGTTTGCAGCGTCGAGTCAAAAAGGCCAGAGCCGTTTCCGGTGACACCTAGCAGCAAATCCCCAACCCCATCCCCCGGGATAGAATTTCCTCCCGCTCTCTCGTTCCCCTCCCCCTCACCAAGGACGGCCGCAGCGGCGGACCTCCAGCCGCAGCAGCTGCTCCAGGACGGAGGCCGCTCGGCTCTCGGCCGAGCGGAGCAGGGGCAAGGAGCCAGCCCCGGCTCTCCCGCCCGCGCCTTCCCGCTCGGTCCCTCCCCCAGCACTTCCTACCTTCACTCCTTCATCCCAACCCCCAAGGCCAAGGTCTCCCCGGCCCACAAACCTGATAGCGGAAGTGACGTCATAAAGACCTGGCAGCAGCCACAGCCAGTCACGCCACAGCAGGAGGCTGCGCAGGCCAATGGGCGCCAGCCAAAAGGCGGAACTTCCGCCCGCCCCAAGTTTGATTGAAGCGGGGGGAGGGGCGGGGTAAGGAATGTGAAGAATGACCCCCTCCCCCGCCCCGTCGGTAAGGAGCTGGGCGGGAAGCGGAGGGGGCTGGGGCCGCGCCGCCTGGGCCACGCGGCACCCCTCCCCCGCCCGCGTCCCGGGCACCCACAGCCTCCGCTGGCCGCCCACCTCGGACCCACCCGTCCACGGGAGGGCGCCTGGCTGTCCCACGGGTTTCAGGCCGCGTCGGGCCGGTGCATAACTCTCCCCTCCTGCCTGCCTGCCGCGGCGAATCTGAGGGAAATAAAATGGCGACGGCCCCGCGCTCGCTGCCTTGCCCGCCGTACCCACCTCAGGCTCCCGGGGAAAGCCGCTCGCCGCCGCCGCCAGGATGGCCCGGACCTCGCGCCCGCCGTTGCCTACCGCCGCGCCCGGAGAGCAGCGCGCGAGGACCCGGATGGAGATGCGGGCGGGCGCCGCCGCGGCGGCCTGAGGGAAGGCAGCGCGGGCGTCCGGAGGCCGAGGCGGGGGCGGGAACCGCGGGCGGCGCAGGAGTCCATTGGCGGGGCCTTCTGACTGATGTGGACCTCACCCTTTCGCCTCAGTCGAGCCGGGCTCGCCGGACCTCACTGGAGGGTGGCAACTGAGCCCACCCCGTTCTGGGCGGCTACCACGGAGGAGGCTGGCCTGGCCCGCCCACCCTGGCTAGAACCTCCCTTCCTATTGGAGGGCCGGGAGAGTGGCGGGGCCGGTGTCCTCCCGGGCCCGCCCTCCGCGCGTGACGGATAGGTCGCGTTACCTGGCCGCCGAGAGCGGGGCGGGGTGGGGCGGAGCGGCTGTGGCTCTGGTCTTCAGGCGTTTAGCACGTGCGCTTCCCGCGCTCTGTGCTCAAGCCTGGTGCGCTCAGTGCTTTGGAAAGACGCGGGCAAGCCCTTTCTCGTGGCCTCAGCTTTTCCCATCTGTCAAATGAAACAAATGAAGTAATTATGTCGCCCAACATTCCACCTTTAAGGTTTTTTATGACTTTTTTACATGTTCTAAATTATTTTTGTCTTCAAGAGCTCCAGTCCGTAATTTTCCTATTTTAAAATTGGTCAAAAACAGTTCTTCTGTGGCCTTTTAACTTTTCATACAAGGACTCCAGAAATCTCCGAAGTGCACCTTAAGGTCTCTGCCAGTTCTTGGTCGTTTCAAGACCTGGCCCTAATTTACTGCACACAGTAGGTAGCTTACGCAACCAAGGCAAACTTGAGGCTGATTTGGAATAGAACAAGGCGGAGGGGCTGGGGGGGGGGGCTTAAGCTTTAGCAACCACTTGCATTTATGATCTCAGGTGTTGGTACTTTCAGTGCTCACGTGGATTGTGAGAGTGAAGGTGAAACTAGAGGAGGAAAATGAGCCCAAACTGAAGGATGAGTAGGATTGAAGGAGGACACCACCAGAGGAGGAAGGTGTGCTCAGGAGAGATGGGGGTTGTACGGTAGACAGACTCCATTTAATGTCACCCTAACATTGTGTTAGGTATTTAGATGACGGGAACAGTCTTCAGCTTGGGGAGTTCCAACAGGGTCTTGTGCATTCAAGGCAAGCACTTTACAGGCTGAGCCGCATCCCTAGCCCTGCAATATGTTTTTTTACCATTAGACAAATTGGGTATCTTTTCTGTGCCTCAGACACTTCTATAAAATAGAGATTATAATAATACTTACCTTATAGGTCTGTTGAAAGAACTAAATGAATAAACAACTACTTAGAACAGTTCTTGGTACATACAAGTACGTTAATGTTAGCTTAATATAAGAATTGAGTTTTCTCCCAGAGCAAAAGAAATAAACAGTCTGTTAAAATGTAAACAAAAGAGATGAACTTTCGGTTCACACAAGAAGAAATGAAAATCACCAATAAATGTGAAATGTCTATCTTTATTTTCTAAGGCCAGGCACAGTGGTGTGTGCCTGTAATCTAGTGACTCAGGAGACTGAGACAGGAGGCTTGCAAGTTCAAAGGCAGCCTCAGCAACTTAGCAAGGCCATAGGCAACTTAGGGAGACCCTGTCTCAAAATGAAAAATAAAGACTGGGGATGTGGCTCAGTGGTTGTTTTAGTCAGCTTTTTTTGCCACTGTGTGTAAAGGAACCAACCAGAACAACTGTAAAGGAGGAAAGGTTTATTTAGGGGCTCACAGTTTCTGAGGTCTTAGCCTATAGAAGGCCAGCTCCATTCCTCAGGGTTCAAGGTGAGGCAAAAGGTCATGGCAGAAGAGTGGGGCAGAGGGAAGCAGCTGACATGATGACAGGAAACAGAGACTCCATTCTCCAGATACAAAATAGATACCTCTTAGCAATGCCTCCAATGAACCAGCTCCTCTCAGCCACACCCCACCAGCCTCCAGTTACCCCTCATTTACTCTCATGAGGAATTAATTTACTGATTAGGTTAAGGCCATACCCTAATTATTTCTTCTCCAAACCTCCTTGCATTGTCTCACATGTGAGCTTTTGGGGGTTACCACATCTAACCCATAACAGTGATTAAGTGCCCCTGGGTTCAATCCCTGGTACCAAAAAAGAAAAGAAGGAAATCAGTTGAATACAAGTGTTTAGAAAAATGAAAAATTTCTCATCTCTCAGTTGATCAGTGGCATTTTAGAAGGAAATGTAAGAAGCAGAAATGTAAAATTATTTCTCTGGGGGCAATTTGGCAGCAGAAATCAGAATCTTTAAAAAGTACACATCTTTTAATCCAATAGTTGGGCCCTGCTAAGAATTTATGCCTAGAAAACAAGAAACAAATGTACAAATATTCCTCCACAGGCTGTTCATCATTTGTTTACAATCACTTCAAATCATTTCCTAGTTCACAATAGGTGATTGCATAAATTAGGATCCAAACATGCCATTAAAGGAACTATAATAGTACTATAGATCTACGTTGGTTGACTAAGGAAAACTCTAAGGGTAGACTATTAAATGAGAAATAAGATCATAAAAACATGTATGATGTGATTCCCATAAACCTGAAAACAATTAACTCTGGAATTACTCATAGTTCTTATTGTCTTTATACATTTCTGGACTCTGGCACTATTTATTGCTTTAATAATTGGGGGAAAAACATAAAAATAAAAGCTATGCCAGAGACTATCAGTTGTTCCCCAATATCCATTGTTTCCTTTTTCTGTACTAAATAGAAAACCAGCTTTTAGGTGTCACAGGCATAAATTGTTCACTGAATGTAGCCTGCAAGATTGGGCGAGGTTTCTGGGTTCTGTTCTCCAAGGGAAGGACTTGCCCTCTTTCCCCCTCTTTTCCTGGAGGGGAAATCCAGGCTGTGAGAGAGTCGGGACCAATAGAAAGTAAGAGGAAAGTGCCGCAGTCCGGCTGCAGCAAAATAACCAGGGGGTGAGGAACAACTTGTGTACATTGATACAGCAGGAGTGGGAGCCGTTTATTGTATTACAGGAGGGGTATATATACATTCCACACAGCTTATCTTAATTAACATAAACTAGATACAGCAGTCAACCAATAAGGAATCTCCACACTTAATGGCTCGCTGGCGTCACCTCACAAACCACTCCCTCTGGCATTTTGCCAGGCGCCATCCAGACTCGTTTACAGACTCTAACAGGAAAGCTGCTGGGTGTGCTCGGGAGAGAACTGGGCAGAGATATCGATATCGAGTCCCAGGACAAATTTCTGTAGCTGAGATTCCAAGAGTAGCAAAGCCCACATTGCTGAGTCCTTTCTATCTTATGATTCCTACTCCACTCATATATGCAGCCTTAGGAAAGAACTAGGCAAAACATGCCTTTTAAAAAATTTTATTTCAATTTGTTTTAATTAGTTATACATAACAATAGAATGCACTTTAATACATCATATATAATGGAGTATAATTTCTCATTTTTCTGGTTGTACATGATGTAGAATCATACCAGTCATATAGTTATATATGTACATAGGGTACTAACGTCTGATTCATTCTATTATCCTTTCTACCCTCATACCCCCTCCCCTCCCTTCACTCCCCTCTACCTAATCTAAAGTAACTCTCTTCTTCCCTAGCCACCCCCCATTGTGAATTATCATCTGCATATCAGAAAAAACAGTTGGCTTTTGGCTTTTGGGGATTAGCTTATTTCACTTAGCGTGATATTCTCCAGTTTCATCATTTAGTAGCAAATGCCATAATTTCATTCTTCTTTAAGGCTGTCAATATTCCATCACATGCATACATATGTGTGTGTTTGTATGTGTGTATATATATATATATATATATATATATATATATATATATATATATAACATTTTTTAATCTGTTCATCTGTTAAAAGGCACCTAGGTTTGTTCCATAGTTTAGCTATCGTGAATTGAACTGCTATAAACATTGAGGTGGCTACATAACTGTAGTATGCTGATTTTAAGTCCTTTGGGTATAAACTGAGAAGTGAGCTAGCTGAGTCAAATGGTGGTTTCATTTTCTGAGGAATATTCATATCACTTTCCAAAATGGTTGCACCAATTTGCATTCCCACCAGCAATGTATGGAATTTCCCCACATCCTCACCAACATTTATTGTTGTTTGTATTCTTGATAAGTGTCATTCTGACTGACATGAGATGAAATCTTAGAGTAAAAACAAACTTCTTAAATTTGTATTTTTTGCAACTAAAAATACTTTTGCATACTTTTGGAAACTTCTCTGACCTCCTCCCTGCCCCAGCTCCCTCCCCCATCTAAGTGTGCCTGATACCCTCTGGCCCTACACTCATCACATGACATTGAGATACTCAGTTTTCATAGGTTAGACTCTGCCCTTATTCCTGGGCATGATGATGAATTTTATATATCAACTTGACTGAGCCATAAGGTGCCCAGATACCTGGTTAAAGCTATATCTGGGTATGTCTATGACAGTGTTTCCAAAACAGATTATCATTTGAATTTCTTAGCTGAAGAAACCAGATGAGCCTCCCCATATGCTTGGTCCTCATTCAGTCCATTGAGGGCTGATAGGACAAAAAGGTGGAGGAAGATTGAACTTCTTCTGCCTCCTGGAAGCGGATCCATGGATGTTCTCTTGCCCTAAGCATCCTGGTTCTCAGGCCTTTGGGCTCAGGCTGGACTGGACTCTATTGGCCCTCCTATTCCTAGACCTTCAAACTATACCACCAGCTTTCCTGGGTCTCCAGCTTGCAGATGACAGTATGTGGGGCTTTATGGCCTCAAAATGAGCCAGGAACAGACACATGCACAGAGATGTTCCTCAACTCATGATGGCGTTTTGGCCCAATGACCTCATCATAAGTTGAACCTTCCTAGGCTGAGAACCTTCTATGTATCTTGTTGGATCTGTTTCTCTGGAGAACCCTGGCTAATACACTGGGTCTCCTGTACCAGCTGTCCCTTGCCTTAACACAGAGCATGGCAAATGTATTAACCATGAGGTTGATGACAGGGTGGTGACTTCCAAGACCACTCCAATTCACTCCAATTCTCATGACTCCAGGAGCCTCCAATTTTCTAAGCTTGGAAGTGGTGCCTCCTGAGGAGTCACAGAAGAAAAACGGAAAACTCACAGGCAGAGAGACCCCAGGCATAGCAAATGCCCCTCAGGAGCATCCCTGGGGTGGAGTGGACATTTATTATCTACTTCAAGCAGAGGTTTGCAAACTGGTATGACCTGGGGTCACATCTGGTTCACAGAAGTGCTTTGTTACATCCACGTAATGTTTTAAATCTATTTTTAATTAGCTGACAGTTCTAAAGAATCAATACATTTAATGAAAAAAACTGGACTTCTTGCTTTTCTCAAAAAAAATTGGAATCTCTGGCTACACTCCAGCTGCATTCCAACATGACAATATTTTCTTTATGTACAGTGTGGGCCCTGCTATTTGTCATAGCCACTGCTGACCCGGCTTCATTTTTATTACAGGCCTTGCCCCTGATGTCATCTAAGATTGCATCCTCTGGACTCAAAGCACAGCCTCTTCTTTGGGAGTACTGCTCCTGCCCCACTTCGGTCTTGAGGTTTTGGTCTTGGCTGTTAATCTTGGCACCTTAGTTATAGAGGTAAACAAGTAACCCAGGTTGATCCATCTCAGTGCCTAAATGAAGCCAATCAGAGTTCCTTCCTAGGAATGTATTAAACATAAACTGGGAGAAGAAAGTCTCCTTATTCTCAGCCCCAACCTGTAATGATAGGTGAGACAAGGCTGATCCTCAGGAAAGAGAACAAGCAAGACTGAGACACAGAGATGAAAAGCAGAAAGAGGGATTGTTACAGAGGCGAGTCCCTGCACCTAGGAGTCTCAGAGGCCCCCTTAGTCTTTCTCCAGTGAGAATCAGTGGACATAGTTCCCTCTTTTCCCAGCAGGAATGGGATGGAATTCCTGTCTCTTGCAACTGCAATTGTGACTAACAGCAAGGAGGTTAGAAGGAGAATGGACTTGTGAATAACATTCAGAACCTGTGTTTCCATCATTTACCAGATGATTTGGGACAAATAACTGATCTCCTCGGGTCTTGGTTTTCGTATTTGTACAGTGGGTACTCTAATGCCTACTTCTTCTAGTGAAATGGGGTTCTTGTGATATAGTATATGTGAAGCATTGAATTCAATGCTTGTGCACACAATAGGCAATCACTAAGTATTCTATAAACGTTCATTAAATTTTATGATAGATGTTTAATAAAAGCCAATGGACTGGATTTTAAAAGAGTGACCTCCCTCCTGAAGAATTGTAGCAGTGTTCTTTAAGGGGTTATTTCCAAATCTGTACTGCCTTCAGATTCTGGGGTAGCCTGAAAGAAAGCAGACCTCAATCAACCAGGTGCATTTGGATTTGCACATGATTCACCATTTAAATAATGGGGTGATCTTGGACCAGTTATTTAAATTCTCTGACCCTGAGTTTCCTCCATAACAAGGAAATAATGTTTCATCTCAGATATTCTGAGAATTAAAATTAACTCATTAATATAAAAGAGTACCTAATAGTGCATGCTAAGCTTTCAATCAACTGTAGTTGAGTGTGATGGGAAAAGAACAAAAAGAACGTAAGAGCTAGCCAAAGGTTTCATTTGGGGGGAATCATTGCTATTGTAATTTCTGGTATCTGAGGCTCCGTTGAGCTAAAATGCATAGTAAGTATTCAGAGCCAATGCTGTTCTGCTCAGCTGCTCCAAGAACTCAAATCTCAGGCACACCTAGCAGTTTTCACTAGTTGAAGGACTTTTATGTTAGTATCTGGCAACAAACTAGTTAAGCAGGTTTCCATTAAAAAAATAAGGAGAAGCTTCAGATGACCAATCAGGAGCAGATATACCTAAATCAAGAGAGAAATCACAATGTAGAAAGCTTTTATTTTCTATTTTTAAGAAATGAAGTCTTAATTTCAGGTGCGGTGGTGTGCCCACCTGTTATCCCAGCGACTAGGGAGGCTGAGACAGAAGGATCGAAAGTTCAAGGACAGACTCAAAAATTTAGTGAGACTCTCAGCAACTTGGTGAGACTCTGTCTCAAAATAAAATAAAAAGTGCTGGGGACGTGGCTCGCTGGTAAAGTGTCCCTGGTTTCAATGTCCTGTACAAAAAAAAAAATGAGGTCTAGCATCTTTCAAGTTGCATTGCAGCCAAAATGAGGCAAAAGTAGGACTTTACACCATTGGCTCCCTATCTTAAGCCCACTTCCCTACATGGAGGACCCCTCATGATGGAGGAAGTAGAGCAGGCCTAAAATGAGTTTCCAGAAAGCTTTGCTACTTTATCTGGCTTTGACAACAAGCCCGACACTGACTTGCATAGAATCTCCTCCAGCATCTGTTCTTGTTCTGCCTACCTTCCCTGCCTAGTGGAGTCCAGCAGCAGTGGTAGCCAGGTCCTGCTCAGACTCAGACCGGACCAGATTAGTGATGTCTGTTCCTTTGGTGAGCTCTTACAAACAGTTTCGGATGGACACATTGTCCTTGACAGGCACCTGAAGTGCACGCGTCACCCTCCGTGAGCCTCCCCATCTCTCCTTCAGCCTCTTGTGCTCGTGGAGGAACTGCATTGCATTTCTGTGCTGCTGCAGGTACGCCTGCCTCTGCTGGTAGGGCAGTGGTGGGCCTGGAACTCCCACCGGGCTCACTGGAATCTTTCTGACTTCAAGGAGTGCTTCAGCTCCAGCTCTTTCAATGAGACCCTGGTTACCACTTAGCAGGAGTTTCCCACAGTGTCCAGCGCGGTCTGTATTCCAGCAGAAAGTTCCTGAATGAGCCTTTCCATGTCCTGGGCAGAGAACAGGAATGTGTTAGAAAAGGCTGACTTTCAGGCCACAGGCTCCTCTCACTCTGAGACAGGGAGAACTGAGGCTGATGGGTGCTGCTGGTCACCTGCTCAGTATCCATTTTTTACCTCTTTTATTTTCTGCTTCTCTCACAGTTGAAGTGACCAGGTGTGCAATAGAAGCAGAAGAAATCCTACGGTGTGGCTTCTGGAAAAGCTCCTGGAAAGTAGACAGCACTTCTGGGACAAATCTGGACCCCTTCCCATTTCCTTGCAGAGCCCATGGATCCAATGCCCACATGTGACAGGCATCTTGTGACCCTATGCAAAAAACAATGCATTCACCATGGCTGAGACGCCAGCCAGCTTTGACTTCCCACCTAGAGACATTTCACTAAGAAAAAACAGAACCCCTAACTTTTTAGTTAGTGCTCCTGGACTTCTGCTACAGCACAAGTAGATCTTAATTGAAAGAATAATCAAATGGAAAAAATTAGCTAAATAATTTTGAAGGGGATAAAATCTCAAATCTATCCAGTTTCTTAAAAAAAAAAAATAGTCAAGATCTATCCACAGCTAACTTAGCCTTGCCCTGGCTGGTGGATATGTGGTCTCCAGATTATCTCTAAAGCCCAAGGATCAGGTCTTCCCTAACAGGGTCAGCCAATGTAGAGGAAAATGCACCCATGGCAAAGTCACGCAAACTCAGAATCTTGGCTCTTACTAGCTGGGCAGCCCTGTCTTGTCAAAAATGGGATTCTGTGATCTGAATAAAACTAAAGGAGTTGGTGAATAAGCAGTACTAGGCACTGGGCCAGGCATGCAGCAGGCACTTAGCAAATCCACCTCTTTGCCCTTCCCTAATGCTTCTTCCCTCTCAGGCAGTAATCGGCTCATCCATTCTACAGTCCTCTCCCATCCCCAGTGGATGCCTGAAACTGGGCATAGCACCAAATCCTATATATACTATTTTTCCTATAATACCTATCTATGATAAAGTTTAATTTTTCAATTAGGAACAATAACAACAACAATAATAAAATAGGATAATTATAACAATACACTACAATAAAAGTATAAGAAGGTAGTTTTTTTTCTAAAATACTCCATTGTATTCCCCCTTCCTCTTCTTGTAATGATGTGAGATGATACTTAAAGGAAGCATTTTATAATTTCTCTTTGGCATATCTGAATTGCCAGCATCTACTACTCTTGTAATTTGGGGCCAGGAGTACATTAAGGGTTACTTGAACACAAGCACTGAAATACCACCACAGCAGTTGACCTACTGATTGAGACAGCTACTAAGTGAGTAGTGGGTGGGTAGTGTCCACAACGTGGAAACATCAGAAAAGTGACAGTTCACTTCAGGGTGGGTTGGAATGAGCCAGCATGAGATTTCTTCATGTTGCTCAGAATGATGCCCAATTTAAAACTTAGGAATTATTTCTGGAATTTTCCATTTAACTTTTTCAGACTGTGTTTGACCACAGAAAACTGAAACCATGAAAAGCAAAATCACAGATAAAGGGGAACTACTATATATACAACACACTATTTTGCAAGCATACTGAGATTTCATTTGATGAGAGTTTTGATCAGAATTCAAGTAGTACAATATAAATATATTCTAACATTATATGAAATTTTGAAATAATGTGGGGGTTTTCTGTTATGTTTACCCAGCACTGGCTACGAAGAGAAACAGGGTGAGCACAGGCAAGCTCATTAAAGCCTCACTATGATCAGGTCAAAAATGAGGAAGGGATCCAGAGTGACAGGAAGAAAAAGCAGATTTGGAGCAAACACAGCTGGTGAAGGGGAGCTGTGGGGACTGCCTGAGCTGGAACTCTGTCTTACTCACCATTGTACACTGAATCACCATCATGTAGGATCTAGCACCTGACAGGTGCCCACAACATACAAATGAATGAATGAATGAATGGTGAATGAGAAAAGCATACTATCATTTACTGATAATACTGTATGCTTGCTTGAGTTCAGTAAGTCCAATTCTTTATATCCCTTAAACTATTTTAAAAATAGCTTTATTGAGTATAATTAATATACAGAAATCTATGCAATCTGATAAGTTTTGAAACTTACTTTATATTTTGAAACTATCACTACAATCAAGATAAAAACCAATTTATCGCTCCCCCACTGTTTCCTCACACCCCTTTGTATTTTCCTCCTTTACTCATCTTGACCTCCCTGCCTCAATCACTGACCTTCTTTCTGTAATTGCATATTAGTTTGCTCTTTCTGGAATTCTCTGAAGATGGAAAACATGCCCCCCCCCTTTTTTTGGTCTGGGTTCTTACACTCAGAAATTTTCAGATTATTTTTTGGGTGCTTATGTGTATCCATTCATGTAACTATTCATCAGAACATTTCTGTTGTTTCCAGTTCTGGCTCATTATTTTTAAAAAGTTACTTCAAAGTTTTGTGTACAAGTCTCTGTTTGCATAGCCCTTTCCTATTCCCTCACAGCCATTTCCTATTCTCACATGTTTAAAACTTAGAAGAGGAATGACTGAATCATTTGTCTTCACTTTTTTTAAAACTGCAAACTATTTTCCAAAATATTTACACTGTTACATTCCCAACAACAGTGTATGAGCTCCAGTGTTTTCATATCCTTGCCCACACTTGGTACAATCTAACCTTTCTAAAGGCCTAATCTTGCTCTGGATTTATTTACATTTCCCTAATGATAGTTTTTCTGTGTACTTATTTTTCATCCATAGTTTTTTTTTTTTTTTTTTTTTTTTTTGGTGAAGAGAATGTGAAAATATTTGCCCATTTTTTGGATTTTTTTTGTCCTCTTAGTGTTGAATTTTGAGAATTCTTTATGTAGTCTTTATTTTTAGCAGGTATGTACTTTGCAAATATTTTTCTCCTATGTTTTCTTCTACAAGTTTTATAGGTGTATAATCTAGTTAGAGTTAATTTTTGCATGTAGTACAAGGGACAGATGCAGGTCCTATCTTTCTTCCCTCCTTTTCCCCTCCTTCCCTTATTTAACAATGTTACAAAGTGGCAAAGGACTTGGCTAAATTGTGTTTGTGTCCTGGTGTTTTGTGGAAGGCAGCACCTGTAAGGGATGAAATTAGATATTTAGCTGAAGCTGTTTCCAAGCAAATTGTTGAAGGTATAAGCTGAATCCAGTAAATCTTGAATCTTGGCTGCTTACAATAAAATGTAAGAAGAGAGAAATGACTTAAAGTCAAGATTATTAATCAAAAGGGAAGCAAATTTAAAGACTCTAGCCAGTTGTAATGGTAAACACCTGTAATTTGAACTACTCGGGAGGCTGAAGCAGGACTGAACATTCAGTCTAAGCAGTTTAGTGAGATACTGTCTTAAGAAATAAAAATTAAAAGGGCTATGGATGTAGCTCAGTTGTAGAATTCTTGCCTAGCATATGTGAGGCCCTACATTCAATTTAAGGGGGAAAAAAAGAAAGAAAAGAAAAAAATTCTCATTCGGGTCAAGACTGTAAATTGAAAAATCATGTTCAGGAGAGAACAAGGATATGACCAAAGGACCATCTGATAAGATTAGCTCAACGTCTACACAAAAACCAGGAACTACTGTCTAAGATGGTAGAAGAACAACCCTCAGAACAGTTCCGGGATGCCACCTCAACAGGATACCACCATCAAGTGTGGGGAGACTGCAGAGAGTCCTCATGAGGACAGTGTCTAGTTGGCCATCGTAATAGGGCTACCTCCATGACCCCAGACTGGCAGAGCCAGTTGTGCATGATTCTAGCTCAGAAGAACCATGGGCACACGACGCAGGCACAGAGCCATGTGCAGGGCTGCCAACCCAGTGGGTACAGAAGTTCAAGCACTGAGGCAAAAAAGATCATTATTGAGCATCAAGATTTCTGACTTTATGGAAGACAGTGATATATGCCTGTAGTCCCAGCTACTCAGGAGGCTGAGGCAAGAGGATCAGTTGATTGCAGCCAGCCTAGGCAACACAGTGAGACCCTCTCTCAAAGAAAAAAAAAATTATCCAAAAGCATTTCTGCCAAAAAAGAAGGAGGAGGAGGAGGAGGAGGAGAGAAAGAGAGAGAGAGAGAGAGAAAATAAATAAAAAAGAAGACAACAACAACAACAACAAAACTATTGGTGGTGCTGGGGATCAATCCCAGAGCCTCATACAAGCTAGGTAAGCACTCTGCCACCAAGCTACACCCCCCGTAATTAGCATTAAGATTTAATGTTACTTGCTTTGTTGAGATTTGGTCTTCCTTGGGACCTGTTTTCTTTTTTCCTGTTTATCCCTTTTGGAATGAGAATGTATGTCTATCCCAGAATTGTAGTTTGGCAGCACTTATATTTTTTAATTTCATGAACTCATAGCTGGAGAGCAATTTGCCTCAGGATAAATAATAGATGATATTTAGATGAGACCTGGACCTTAGATTTTTTACTTGATACTGGAATGAATTAAGTCTTTTAGGTTATTGAGATAGAACTAATGCATTTTACAAGTGAGAAGGAAGGACTTTGGGGGGACCAGGAACAGAAGAATGCTATGATCTGAATGTTACGTTCCCCTCACATGCGTATGTTGAACTTGGTCCCCAAAGTGATGAGATTAGATGAGGCCTTTGGAATATAATCAGGTCACAAAGGCAGAGTCCTTGCTATTGGGTACTGTCCTTATAAAAGAGATCCCCGGAAAGCTAGTTTGCCCCTTTTACCCTGTGAGGATACATCACACAACAAGAGTGATAATTGACACTTAGTGAGAAGAGCCTCTCCAAATAAAGAGCTAAGCACAATCACTAACAATCGAGCACTAGACTGGATTCAGAGGAAATTATAATCTTCACTTCTATATATACAAGGGAGTATGTCCTCATTAGAAACCATCTGCCAGTACTGTGATCTTAGACTTGGAACCTTCAAACTGAGAAATAAATGTCCACGGTTGATATGCAACCCAGTTTATGGTGTTTTGCTATAGCAGCCCATACTAATACAGTATGTGCCTGGGAGAGGTAAAGGGGCTCTGAACCACTCTCCTCCGCCCCCATCTTGCTTTAGGCATCACTTCCATGTGGATGCTCCTGAGTTGTATCCTTTATAATAGTCTAGTGAGCTAAGGTAAAGTCTTTTCCTGAGTTCTATGAGTTGTTCTAGAAAATTCTCAAAAGTGAGAAGGCAGTGTTGGGAATCTCCTGAGTTTATAGCTGTTGGTCAGAAGAATAGGGGCAACGTGGGGCATGTGCCTGGCATCTGAAATGGGGCAGTCTCGTGGGATAGCCCGTAACCTGTGGGATCTGTGCTGAATCAGGTGGGTTACAACTAAATTGAGTTGTTGAAAACTCATCCGATGTTGGAGAATCAGAGTGTGAGATATTCCCAAATCACTGAAGTTTTATAAAGAATGGATGTTAGATTTTTTTCCAAAAAAAATTGTTTATTGAAATGTTTAACATAAACTTTTAGTTTATGGTGAATTAGGTTGATTGTTTTTAGAATGTTAAACCAACCTTATATTCCTGACATAAACCCTCTTGGTCATGATATGCTAAACTTGAATATTTTGGATTTGATTTGCAGTTCAATCCCTAGAATAAAAAAAAACAAAACAAACAAGCAAACAAAATCCAACAACAAAACTAAAACCAAAAAAAAAATTTATTATAGATTTCTTATGTCAATATTCATAAAAAAATGTTGATTGTAATTTTCTTTTTCTGATTTTAGTTTCAGAGTAATACTGGTCTTTCAGAAAGAATTGGGAAGTAATGTCACATCTTCAACTTTCTGGATGTTTCTATGTGTACTGCTTCTTCCCTAAATGTTTGGTAGAATTCACCAGGGAAGCTCTCTGGGCCTTCAGTTTCTATTGTGGAGAAAATTTTAAACTACAAATTTAGCTTTAACAGATAAACAAATATTCTGGTAATTTATTTCTTCTTGGGTGAATTTTGATAGTTTGTGCCCCTTACAGAATTTATGAAATTTTGGCATAAAGTTGTTCTCAATAGTCCCTTATCATCTGGCATGTCCTTTTGATTGACTGACCCCTTCATTAAAATGCAAGGGCCTTGGTAATTTATAAATTGTAAGCCAAATTGCAAAGAGCCATTTTTACTTTCTTAGGATTTATGTTAGCACAATCAGTCTTTTTCCATTTTTATTAACATTTAACCTATATTGTGATTACATTTATAGTGCATTTGTGATAAGCAGTGAACAGTTAGGTCTTGATTTTTATTCATTCTGAAAAATGCCATTTTAATTAGAGTGTTTATATCATTTTGATTTAAGGTGGTTTTCAATCTGGATAGGTTTGAGGTCTATCACCTTGCTATTTGCTTCTATTTGTCCAATCTAGGGTTTGGTTTCTTTCTTTCTTTTTAAAACTTCTTTACAATTAACCTGTGATTCAACTTTATCTCCTTTGCTGGTGTTATAGTTTGGGTATGAGGTGTTCCCCAAAAGCTCCCATGTTAATGTAGGAATATTCAGAGAGGCAGTGATTGGATTGAATGGACTAACTGGAGGGTAACTGAAGGCAGGCGGGGTAGGAGTAGGTGGATCACTGGGGGAGTGCCCTGGAGGGTTCATCTTCCCTATGACCCCTTCCCCTTGCTCCCTCCACTTCCTGGCTGCCAAGAGTGGAGCAGAGCTCCTTCACCAGAGCCTCCTTCCAAGATGTGCTTCCTCACCTTGGGCCAAGGGCAATGGAATTGCCCACCACAGACTGAAACTTTGAAACTGCCAGTCAAAATAAACTGTCCCTCTTCTAAACTGCCCTTGTCAGGTATTTTGATCAGACGAATGACAGGCTAACACAGTTGGATTACTAGATATGACTCTTTCTTTAGTTTGCTGGTTGTTTTGAAAGGTTATGGAAAATAATTTTCCAACAAGACAGCTTTCGGAGAAAAACAGAGGGGCAGTGTGCCTCGGGGGGAGGGAGGGAAATTAGCCAAATATTAACAAAGGGCCCTGAGGCAAAAAGCAGACTTTCATCCCTTCCTGGGTTTATCCCCAGCGTCTCCATCGAAAGCAAACATTCATCCCTTTCCAACCACAGCAGGTCCTGGAGGGAGGAGGCAAATACTGAAACTCTGGGCCCTGGACTTTTACCCTTTCCCACAGCCAATGAGTCCTGGAAGGAGAAAAGCAAATGGTGAAGCTCTGGGTAACAGCGGGTCCCAGAGATAAGCAGTGAACACCGAGTTGTGAGATTTTTCCCAGTGACAACAAGTTTAAAACTTTTTACAATTGCCCTCCTGGGTTAAAATTTTAACCTACACAACTAGTTCCCTGACTGTCCAAACTGCATGTCCGCATCTCCAATGGTTAATTCACCCTCCCTGTAATCTATAAAACCCAGACTCCTTCTGTAACCCCGGGGGCCATTTTCATACCCAGAAAATGAGCCCTCCCGTGCCTGATGGATTGACTGCGCTGCAGAATAAAGGAAAGGCTGCTGATCCAAGGTTTGCTTCTGGCGCTTACAGCCTTAGTGCTTATAGTATGCATTATCAACCATCAGTCTACCTAGTGATATTAGACCACTTTAAAAATTAAAACCTTACAATAGTATACTTATATTTTGCCTCTTCTAGTCTTTATCCTATCGTTGTCATTCATTTTGGGGAGAGGGGGTTACTGGGGATTGAACTCAGGGGCACCTGACCACTGAGCCACTTCCCATCCCTATTTTTTATTTCATTTAGAGACAGGGTCTCACTGAGTTGCTTAGTGCCTCGCTTTTGCTGAGGTTGGCTTTGAACTCACGATCCTCCTGCCTCAGCCTCCTGAGTCGCTGGGATTACAGGCGTGCACCACTGCATCCGGCCTGTCATACATTTTTATATATTTCATAAATCCTCCAACATATTATTATTTTGAGCAATCAATTAATGATTTAAATAATATGAAAAAATGCCGCGTCCGGCTAACGGAGCCGAGTCCGGCGAGGGACGGCGGGGTTAAAAATACACAGGACACCAAGGTTCTTCATCCAGGAGGGAGCGTGTGCGCGCTTTATTGCCAGATTTGTTCCCCTTATATATCTTTTTAACAGCTGCGGGAAATTACTCAAAAGTGAGGAGGGAAGAGTAATAACTGCGTCCTTGGGTTACCGTCACGTCACCGTCCCCTATCAGGAGGCTCGAACAGGTCAAGATGTTCCCGAGAGACACATATGTGCGAGGCAGATAAACAGGGAACCGCAAGCCCGCTTCACGGCCTTGTGAGCTGGCCACATTGACATGCATAACAAAGAACTGGGGGTTGAGTCCCCAGGGGCCAGGGCGGGCCTGCTACCAGCAAAAAAAAACATGATTTCCATTTCTGATGCTTTTCATTACTTTGTGTAGATCCAGATTTCCTTCTGCTGAAAGAATTTCCTTTAGCATTTCTTATGAGTGATGAATTCTTTCATTTTTTTAAATGTCTGAAAATATTTTTGTTTCACTTTCACTTTTAAAAGATATTTTCACTAGATATAGAATTTTAGAGTGCTATCTTTCTTTAGTTCATATTTTTAAGACTCTTTTTGCTCCATTGTCTTCTTGGTTGGCTTGTTTCCAAGGAGAATTCTAATACAATCTTTATATTGTTCCTCTGTATATAACATGCCTTTCCTACACCACCTGACTATGATGGCACTGGTCTATAATCCCAGCTGCTCAGGATGAGACAGGGAGATTGCAAATTTGAGGTCAGCCTAGACAATTTAGTGAGATCCTGACTCAAAATTGTGTCCATCTAGAACTAAAAAATAAATTACTATTTTTTAAAAAGGAAATCTATAAAGTCAGCTGTGGCAGACACAGTTCTGTCCAGATTTCCCTTCAAGGGAGAGCTTTTCACCCTCCTGTGGTGGGTGTCATCAGTTTCCAGTTATTAGTTCTGTGGGATTGTCCTCAGCTGTGCTAGTTACATCCTGTGACCAGCCATTCCAGCCTCCCATGGGCTATTTTGATGGGCAATGCTGGTTCCAGAGTCTGCACCAGAAAATATAAAGAGCTGGTATAAAGCTCAGTGGTAAAGCACCCCTGGGTTCAATCCCCAGTACCAAGACTTTCTCTTTATTATTAGTTTTCAGCAAATTGAACCTGAGGTTCCTTAGTACAGTTTTTCAGTGTGCTTTTTGTGCTTGAGTTTTGCCATTCCTATGGCTGTGACTTCATAGCCTTTATTAAGTTTGGAAAACTTTGGTCATTATTTCTTTAAATAATTATCTTTCCCTCCCTTGACCTATCCTTTCCTTCAGGGACTCTACCTACTCCATATATTTGGGACACTTGCAGTCCTCCCACAACTCACTAGTGCTCTTGAATTAAAAAGTAACATGTTCTTCTTTGTTTCATCTTGTGTAATTTCCATTGTTATAGCTTCAATTTCATAAATCATTTCTTTCACTGCGTGTAACCTGCTGATAATCCCACTTGGTCTATTTTTTTTGTGATACTGTGGATTTCGTCTCTACAAATTCAACCTGAATATTTTTAAATCTTCCATGTCTTTAACTTCTTGGAATATGGGATCTAATTATAATACATTTAGTGTCTTTGCTAATTCTAACATCTGTCTAGGTTCTGATTTGATTTTGACTGTCTGGTTACCTTTCTCATTATGGGACACGTTTTCCTGTTTCTTTGTCTGCCTGATAATCTTTAATTGGATGCCAGACATGGTGACTTTGACTTTGTTGGTGCTGGTTATTTTTGCCTCTTATAAATCATACATTTCGCTCTGGGATGCAGCTGAGTTACTTGGAAAGAGTTTGATCTTTTCTGGTATTGCTGTCATTATTTGCTAAGTGGGCCCACCAGCAGTGGTCAGTCAAGGGCCAATTAGTCCCCACTGCTGAGGCAAGACCCCCCCAGCCCTCCTCTCAATGTTTCACATGTAATGAGTTTTCCAGTCTTGCTCATGGGGACAGGCTCCCTGTTTAAGCTCCAATCACTGTTCCCTCCACCCTTTCATCTGGTTTCTTCCCTGAGCTTGGAGAGTTTCCTCACAAACATGTGCTGATCAGTGTGCTACTGTAGCTCAGGGGACATCTGCTGTCTCTCCCCTGGTCTCCAGTTCTCTCTGTAGCCCCCTCCTCTCTGGACTCTGTCCTATGTGCTCTAACTGCCTAGGCCTCCACAACTCTTAGCTCCATCTTTGAAACTCACACTTTGTATGAGTTCCCTCTTACAGTGCCCTGGCCTGGAAGCTCACGGTGGTAAGGAGGGGCCAACTGTACCTTCACCTTATGATTCCCAACTTGGGAATTATGGTTCTTCAAAGTCTGAGGTCCAGTGTCTTCAAAACCGTGACTCATAGGTTTTGTGCTTATCATTGTTGTTTCAAAAGGGAGGGTTTATTCAATTCCTGGCACCCCATCTTAGCCAGAAAAGAAAGTAATAAACCCAGTTTTAACAAATAATTGTTTAGTATTAGAAAGGAAATCTATAAGGGAATGGAGTTATAGTTCACTGGTAGACTGCTCACCTAGCATGTTCGAGGCCCTGGGTTCCATCCTCAGCACCACATAAAAATAAATAAGTAAAATAAAAGTATTGGGTCCATCTACAACTAAAAAATAAATAATTATTTTTTAAAAAGGAAATGTTTAAATTCAGCTGTGGCAGACACAGTTCTGTCCAGATTTCCCTTCAAGGAAGAGCTTTTCACCCTCCTGTGGTGGGTGTCATCAGCTTCCAGTGACTAGTTCTGTGGGATCGTCCTCAGCTATGCTAGTCACATCCTGTGACCAGCCATTCCAGCCTCCCATGGGCTATTTCGATGGGCAGTGCTGGTTCCAGAGTCCACACCAGGATGGGCTGCTGCTTTGTCTGGCCTGCGTGGTCACTGAAGTTCCTCTTTGCTTCTTGCTACCTCTCCTCCTTTCCTTTTGTAGGTGTTGATTTACATACCTCGCAAACTAACTCTGTCTGCTTTCTGGAGTTGCTTCTAGAAAACCCAACCTGTGCTACCAATTCCTAGGTAACTTAGGAACTTCTGCCATGACCCATTCCATTAATGTCACTTGTCTACAAGAACTGAAAACTCGCCACTAGAATTTAGTTCTAAATGACCACCTATTTTTCACTGTGTGTGTGTGTGTGGGTGTATGTACATGCACACGCGCATGCACATGTGACTTGGAAAATTTTGTTCTCTTGGAAAATGTGTCCAGAGATTAGCCCTTAACATTTTATTGCAGGGAGGAAAAGTCATAAAATGAGGAAAGAGGGCTCTAGATGATGTAGCATGCCTACTTTTTCATCCTGATGTGGCCTTTAACTTCCCCTATTTGGAAACTCTTAAAGGATTCAGAATTTACCTATTTCTTAAGTGCACATTTCAAAACTTGAAACATTTCAGGACAAACTTGAGAGCTTGTATCTAGAGAATCTGTAATATCTTCATTGCACTTAAGCACCGCCTCTGTCAGCTGGTGCCTTCAAGGGAAAACTGTTTGAACTGGAACCAAACATTGTCCTGCTGTTTACATGGAGAGGACATGAACCACATGAGCTATAACTCCACTGCCCGGGCCGTGCACAGCACTGACTAAATATTCCCGGCAAAGCTAGCTTTCCTCTCTGTGCAGGCACTAGCCATCTTGGCCACCTAGTGAGACTTGTGAACCCTCAAGAGCTTACAGATTCCACGTGAGGGCTCTTCATCACTTAGGCACAACTAACTGCAGAAAGAAAAATCATTGAAATTTATTTCCCTTCCCATTTCAAGCCTGCCCACTCAAGACCTGCTATAACCCAGGCTGATGACATTCTCAATCTATTCTTAAACAGGCAGGAAGTCAGTGTCACAGGACACCCTGTGGGAGGATAGAGGTGATGCTAGTACCGCTCTGATGATAATTTGGGAAGCGCATGCCACACTTGCCATTTCTTGGAATTCTTACAACAATCCTTTGGTGTAGATAGTGTGATGACTGTTTTTCAGAAGGCTCCAAAATGGTAAGTAACTTTCCAGGGAGGGACAATGCTGGGATTAGAAGACAAGGTCTTTCTGATTCCAAGGCCAAAGCTCTTCCCACATTGCCATGCCACTTACATCATGGGGTGATGGTGAGGGTTACGTGCAAGTGATGGCTGTAAAATGCCAAACTGTGTCTTAGCAGGAGAGGCAACAGCTAGAAGGAGGATTGCAGAGGCCGAGGATGTTCTGAGTGGCCCAGGTGACTGACTGGCTGAGGGTGAAGCATCACAAAGACCCAGACCGGTGAAGGACACACTTCTCATTTGGAACCAAAAGACCTGCTTCCAGAGCCACATTTGGATTTGGCTTCAGAGCATTAAGCAACAGTGAAATTATGAATCCTCAAAAGCGTCTTTGACTTCCTCTAAAGAAATCATCAATTTAACTGAAACTTGATAATTAATAAACAGCTTAAACTTGGTGGTTAATGTTACATAATCACTGAAATGTGGAAATTCTGCCATTGTCTGCCCCTGCAGAGTCATTGGGAGAATCAAATGGGCAAAACACTGTGGATATACTTTGTCAACAGTGAAGAATTAAAGCTTAAGAAGCATCACGTCGGACACAGGGATGTGTTCTGAAATCAGGGCCAAAGCAGAATCACATTCAGCTCTCTAAACCATCCAACCCTCTTAGGCAATGCAGAAACCAAACAAAAGGAACTGCATGGTTCCATCTGACCTCATTCTCTTTCAGGTGACCAAGTGATGCTGAATTCACACAACTCTAAATGAGCTATGATGCCACTTCACTGTTGCTATTACTGTAACTATTGGAGTTCCATCTACCTGTGGTTCCTTAAATCCTCCTGTGGGCTGCAAGGCTTCACACAGCACACACACCCAGGGTACAGATATGTGTGTGTGTGTGCACACACACACACACATATTCATCCATGGGCTCTATTGTTAAGAATGAAGGATGATGTCAACATCGGTGTGTGAATTTATTTATAAAATAGTCCTCTACTATGCTCCTGGTTCCAACGATTTAAGGTTCCAACTACTTAAGGTTGCTGAGTAATTTGACAGATTGGGAAACTAGGCAAAAATAAAAGAGTAAAATGTATAATTGAGTACCAGATTCCTGATTTCTCTATGCTTTTCACACATTTGAGTGAGCTGTTTTTGCTCCTTGGTGTGAAGTGCTTTATGTGCTTCCTTAAACATTTCCAATACATTTTTAGCCAGGATGTTTCTTTGCGATCCATTTGTTCTCTTTCCCCTCAAGTAAATGACCTGAAGCACCCAGAGCATGAATTTGTGGCAAATTCCCATGATTGTTACCTCATCTTGGGGGAAGGCTGAGACACTTCCCTTCCAGAGCACATAAACACTAACCAGGCGGAGGAAAGAACTCATGTCCCACCCTGGAGAACGCTGATAAGACCTTCAAAAGGAAATGACTGTGAGAGGCCTCCCAACCACCATAAAATGACACCTCAGGCTGACACTGCCTGTCATTAATATCAGTCATGAAAACCACCACAAACTCTATCAGACAAAACAGGAACCTGCGTTCTTTTAGCCTGCTTTATTAATTATTTTTCATCAGTACCCACTCTGTATCTGTTTTAGTCAAATTTTTGCTGCTGTGACCACAAAAGACTTGACAAGAACAATTAGAGGAGGAAAAGTTTGTTTGGGGGGCTCATGGTTTCAGGTGTCTCAGTCACATTGCTCTGGACTGAGGTGAGGCAGAAGGGTGTGGTGGAGGGAGCAGGTCAGGACATGGCCATGAGAAGCAGAGAGAGAGAGAGAGAGAGAGAGAGAGAGAGAGAGAGAGACATATTTTGTCATCATAGACAAAATATGAACCCCAAAGACACGCCCTCATCAGCCCATCTCCTCCACTCACAGCCTACCTATCTACGGTTAATGCACTGATTAGGTTAAGGCTCTCCTAACCCAATCACTTCACCTCTAAGCTTTCTTGCATTGTTTCACACATGAGCTTTTGGGGGACACCTCATACTAACCATAACTGTCTTCCACTGGGGGTGATGAATGCTCACAATGACTATATGGTTGAATGCATGAGGGGGGCACAGAGAAGGAGAGACTGAGGCACCTTGAGGGGATGAAAGAGGTCAGGGCTGGAGTCTCCAGAACATAGCACCAGGATGAGGCATTGAAGACCCGGCTGTGTTAGCTGTACATTTTATTGTCCATATTCTGATGCTTGGACATCTGTGCCTTGCAAAACCTGGAGGGATTACCTCTTTCAGGGATGATAAATTTCCAAAAACAGTAAAAGACTCTCCTGAGAATGCTCTTCACAACTGCAAACCAACCAACCCATAACCTACCACCTCACACGCTGCCCTCATCTCCCCAGGGCCAGATACCAGACAACCAGGTACACCTGTGCCTCAAGCTCTCGGCACTCATTCAAACTAGCCAGACCCAAGCTTGTTAACCATTCTTACCTTTTTCTTCCTGTGGAAACCACAGTAAAGGCTCTGTCCACAGCTGACTTTTTTCTTGGCGTCATATACTTGGCTTTCACGTGGGCCCTCTGAGCAGTGTGGCCCCTCCCCCTGGAGTTGTGACTTACAAACGATCTTTTTCAACAGCAATCATCTCCTGATCTGTTGGCCTCCTCAGAAGCAATGCAGGAGAGTGATTTCTTTTCTACATCACTCAGAATTTCCCTCTAGAGGTAAGGAGTTGAGAGAGAAGGGTAGGGAAAAA